TCTATTCAAGTCCTTTGCCCATTTTTCAGTTGGATTGTTTGTCTTTTTTATTGTTGAGTTGTAAGAGTTCTGTGTATTTATAGATACTAGACCCATATCAGTTTTCTCCTATTCTGTGGGTTGTCTTTTCACTTTGTTGATGGTGTTGTTTTTATCACTAGCAGCATGAAAGTTTTAAATGCATTTTTTGTTTTTTTTTGGAGATGGGGTCTTGCTCTGTCACCTAGGCTGGAGTGCAGTGGTGCAATCATATATAGCACACTGCAACATTGAACTCCTGGGCTCAAGCGATCCTCCTGCCTCAGCCTCCCAACTAGCTTGGACTACAGGCATGTACAACCATGCCAAGCTAATTTTTTTTTCATATAAGTTTTTAGAGACAGCGTCTTGCTATGTTACTCAGGCTTGAACTCCTGTCTTAAAGTAATCCTCCAATCTCAGCCTCCCCAGTTGGTGGGATTATAAGCACGAGCCACTGCGCCTGGCTAAAGTTTTAAATTTTGATGAAGTACCATTAATCTGTATTTTCTTTGGTTGCTTGTGCCTTTTATATCTTCTAAGAAACTGTTGCCTCATTTAAGTTCACAAGGATTTTCACCTATCTTTCCTGCTAAGAGTTTTATAGTTTCAGCTTATACCTTTAGGTTATTGATCTGTTTTGAGTTAATTTGTATATATGGTGTGAGATAGGGGTCCAACTTTATCCTTTTGCATGCAGATATCCAGTTGTCCCAGCACCATTTGTTGAAAATATTTTTCTTTCTCCACTGAATGGTTTTGGAATCCTTGTCAAAAATCAGTTGACCATAAATATATGGGTTTATTTCTGGAGTTTTATTCTAAGTTTGATTCTTAGCTTTGCTACTTGCAAGAACTTGGACAAGTTACCCTTTCTTATAATAACAGTACCTACCTTTTAGAGAGTTGTTATGAAAATTAAATGATAGAATGCATATAAAGGGTATTGTAAAGGTGCTTTGATAATCAAGGAGGTAGGGAAAATGGAGGATAGTTGAAAGGATGCTAAAATATTAGGAGTAACCAGAACAAGGAGGCTTCCTAAATGAGAAATGATTGAACACATGTTTGAAGAAGTTGAGAAACATTCAGTTCCCTAAAATTGGATAAAACAGTTACTATATGACAATAAAGTCAAATAGCATAGAAACAGTATAGAAAAGTTACTTACAATAAGCAACAGACAGTAACCATCTTATCATATTCTTTATAGAGCTGAAATCAGTTAAGGTAGGTTATTTTAGAGTACTAATGCTTGAATTTTTTTCTTTCAAGGACCCTTGAAAATCTTTTGAAAGCTTTGGACAACCCTCTCCCCATAAAAATGCATATATGACATGCACACAACATTCTGCACTTCTAGGATGTTCAGAAGTCACTGGTTAAAATTCCTATTTGAGGCTGGGCATGGTGGTTCATGCCTGTAGTCCTAGCACTTTGGGAGGCCAAGGCAGGAGGATTGCTTGAGGCCAGGAGTTCAAGACCAATCTGGTCAACATAGAGAGGCCCTGTCTATACAAAAAAAGTTTTTTAAAAATTTAGATGGGCATGATGGTGTGCACCTGTAGTCCCAGCTACTCAGAAGTCTGAGGCAGGAGGATTGCCTGAACCCAGGAGTTTGAGGTTGCAGTGAAGTATGATGATGCCACTGTACTCCAGCCCAGGCAACAGAGAGTGAGACTCTGTCTCAAAAAAAAAATGGGGTGCGGTGGCTCACGCCTGTAATCCTAGCACTCTGGGAGGCCGAGGCGGGCAGATTGCTCGAGGTCAGGAGATTGAAACCAGCCTGAGCAAGAGCGAGACCCTGTCTCTACTATAAATAGAAAGAAATTAATTGGCCAACTAATATATATAGAAAAAATTAGCCAGGCATGGTGGTGCATGCCTGTAGTCCCAGCTACTTGGGAGGCTGAGGCAGCAGGATTGCTTGAGCCCAGGAGTTTGAGGTTGCTGTGAGCTAGGCTGACGCCATGGCACTCACTCTAGCCTGGGCAACAAAGCGAGACTCTGTCTCAAAAAAAAAAAAAATGCTATTTTGACTTTACCCAAGGCAATCCTCCTGATCCATTACGTACTTTACCAAGCTTAATTTCATAGTGAGGTTCAAGTGTCACACTGACTCCAAACAAATTTTAGGGCTCCAGGCAAAACTGAAAAGCTTTTTCTCTGTACAGAGAATTTATATGGCACCCGTGTAAGACTTAGGAGAGCTGTGGTACTCTAATTGTTTTTATATAAGTTTCAACACATAATACGTGCCTTTCAGCAATATTCCTGACCAACCCAGGTAGCTTCCAACAGAGACATTGAGGAATGAAGACATACAGTTCTAGAAGAAGTAGTAATAGCAATACAGTGTGAGGTAGAGATGGGTCTAAAGAAAGAGATATGACCCTGGAAGTTATTCAAAATGAGTTAGACAAATTCAGAGAAACTCAGAGGGACACAGAGAGACAGATAAAAATAGAAGCGGAAACATGCTGTTTAGAAGCCCTCTCCTTAATAGTCAAGGTAAACTTAAGTGAAGGAGTTAAGATGATTGAAATTAAGGTGTAGGGGAAAGAGCAAAGGTATTGGCATTAGACTACTGACTTGTGCTCTGGTATGTATGTTTCTGGTTGATTTACTTAATGGCTCTAGGTCCTAGTTTCATAACTATAAGATGGATATAGTACCAGTAACTTCCTTACAGGCTTCCTTCAAGAATTTAGTGACATAATGTATAAAGTACCCAGTACTTAACTGAGTACCCAGAAAGCAGGAGGTGTTCAATAGATTAGATGCTGGCTCCCTTCTTACTGCTGGTTTAAGGGATGAGTCACTAACAATTATTGAATACAGTACCTAGTTTTTGTGAGGCACCATGCTGTGAATAAATCTATGAAATAGTCAATGCCCTCAAGGTCAGGGAGAGTTAGCTGGAGATGTAGATATGTAAATGAAATAAAACAGAATGTTCTGGAAATCACCAGTGGTTGAAGTGATAAATGTGTAAATGAGGGAACTCCTAAGTTTCTATGCTTGGATGGTGATATTCACCAGATAGGGAAAGTCAGAAGAGGAGTAGGTATTTTTTTTGTGTGTGTGTGTGTGTGTGTGTATGTTTTTTTTTTTTGTTTTTTTTTTCAGGAGTGAGGATGAGCATAACAAGTCCATTTACGGATATGTTGCATTTGAGCATCTGAGGGATATAGCAAGTGGATCTATCTAAGGCAATATTCCTGCCTTCAGTGAAAATTGGAATCTTTCATCTCTAAAGTCTCTTCCAATTCTAAGATTCCATGATAAGTGTACATTTTAATTGTTTTACTTTTTCATCTCTATAGATGAAGGCTGATAGATGTTATAAGCTATAAAATACTGGCTAACAATTTTCAAGCACTTGTAAATTGTAAAATAAAAATACCATGTCTCACTTTTTTTTAAAAAAAGTGGCTATACAAACATAAACCTACTAATAAACCAATTGAGAGTGACTGATTTACAAAATGATTCTTTACTTTTATAGCCCAATTTCCTATTGATTGCGATTAGTTAGTTAGCTCAGTGCACTTAAAAAGTTTGATTTAGAAACAGCTTTTAGGTGTATATCTATTGTACTTACACACATGGTATAATTGTATTCAGTATTTATGTATCCTTTGAGATATGTAGATATCACTGATAAATGACAATATCTGAACAAATATCAATAGCAGAATCAAATTTTCAAGCCCTGCTGAGTGCCCCCAGTGATAGTGAGATGATTAATAGAAGCTACTCAGAAGCAAAAGATGCCTTTCTCTTCCCTATAAATAGGACTAACATTTTCAGTCAATAAGATGTTTTATATTTTTTCCTTAGATAAGGCTAACTTAGTTGTGTGTGTGTATTTTAATTAGTGGAAGACACATGACAGTAAGTATGTATGTGTTCAGCACAGAAATGCCTGTGGGAGAATGGATAGATTGACCAAGAGGTTAGTTTCTTGTCAGTGGGGTCTTCTTTTACTCTCTGCATGCTAAAAATGAAGGTTAGCACATCTGAAAATTTTTGGCTGCTTACATTGCTAATTTCTATCTAGATCTTGATTTGCATTCTGTTATGTTTAGGAAGTATGAAAAGACACATGGGAGGTGAGCTTTATAACAGACTTGTGCTGCTAGTTCAGCAGGTATTTAATAATAAAAGCAAACTGAAGCTACAAGGTAATATGACTTCATGAATGATCAACAACTATTGCTGAGTAAGTCAAAAAGTTATAATCATTCTTCATTTGATTTGATGAAATGAAGGGTTTTCTGTAGGTGAGGGAAGAAAGTGAAAGTGAAAACTATCATCTTTTGTCTCTAGGAACACAGTTTATTAGAAATAGGATGGAATAGAAATCTCCATGTGTGATAATGGGAAGTAATTCAAGTTTACACTCTGAAGAAGAGCTTATTATCCTGTACCAAGAACTACATTTTTCTAAAGTTCTCTCTTCTTTTTTATGCAGACTCTCAGAATGGAATCTTTTCAGGAAGTAGACAGTTAGTTTAAAATATGGCCTTGTTTTCCTCCCACTGGATGTGAAATAGGAGCGGCTCCTATAATTTTACCTTGACGTGAAATAAAGAACAATACTGGAGAATAGATTGAGAATTTTGCAGAGCCTCAGCCTCATCCATAGCCGAGGACAAGAGATGGCAGTGTAGAATATGTGAGAGAATGATCCATGCCAATGTTGTGCGCTGGAATGGTAATGTTAACTCAGTCAACCAGGATTCAGAGGTGGCCACTGGTTCTATTTATTAGTGCAGGAAAATAAACTCAGGCATTTGTCAAAAACAAGGTTTGAAGGGGGAGAACGGCTTCCTGATTAATTCCCAAATTGCTTTCCTATTGCTCAAGCATCCCTGGGGAGCCCAGCATGTAAAGCTTCCATTGGTTAGTACATAATTATGTTATATCCACTTTTCCTTTAGAAATGCTTAATGACTTTTGCATTGTATTCTTTGCAGGTGAAAGCCCAGCCTCTGTGGTTCTTAATGCCTCAGCAGGATTATTTTCACTAAAGATGGAAACACTGGAGTCTGAATTGACCTGTCCAATCTGCCTAGAGTTGTTTGAAGACCCCCTTCTGCTCCCTTGTGCTCATAGCCTTTGCTTCAGCTGTGCCCATCGCATCTTGCTCTCAAGCTGTAGCTCTGGTGAATCCATTGAACCCATTACTGCTTTCCAGTGTCCTACATGCAGGTATGTTATCTCTCTGAACCACCGAGGCCTGGATGGTCTCAAGAGGAATGTGACCCTGCAAAACATTATTGATCGCTTCCAGAAGGCTTCAGTCAGTGGGCCTAATTCTCCAAGTGAGAGCCGCCAGGAGAGGACTTATAGGCCCAGCACCGCCATGTCTAGTCAGCGAATTGCTTGCCAATTCTGTGAGCAGGACCCACCAAGGGATGCAGTGAAAACATGCATCACCTGTGAAGTCTCCTACTGTGACCGCTGCCTGCGGGCCACACACCCCAACAAGAAACCTTTCACCAGCCACCGCCTGGTGGAACCAATGCCAGACACACATCTTCGAGGGATCACCTGCCTGGACCATGAGAATGAGAAGGTGAACATGTACTGTGTATCTGATGACCAACTGATCTGTGCCTTATGCAAACTGGTGGGTCGTCACCGAGACCATCGGGTGGCATCCCTGAATGATCGATTTGAGAAACTCAAGGTAAGGGATCTGGGGAAATATCCCTCATACAACTTTGTCTCTTAGTATACAGTTAGATAGTTAGCAAGTTCCCTAATAAAATGGATCATTTTTCATACATGACAAATGAGTTAATTCAAGTTGTTTTCATGAGGAATAACCTACTCACCTGCAAGCTCTCACAGGCACCTGTCTCATCTGTTGCATAAGCCTTCTTGCATTCATACACTTCTGGCCAATTCTGGGGGAGTTAGCCCATGGCCTGCCACACCAGTAGTCCATCCAGGGAAAGAGCACCCTCTCTCCTCTGTCAGTGACATAGTGCATGTTACATATCTTAGCCGCCATCTTTCCACCTCTTCTTCTAAGTATGTGAATACCTGTGTAGGTGTACTATAATTAGCATATGTGCTGATTTGCATATGTATATAGCAATGGGAAGGTGGGGTGTATCTCTGGAGGTGGAGTTGTCTAAGTATATCTATGTAGGTGAGAGATTTTTGTGGAGGACATTAATGTATGTTTGTGTTTACATAATACACTAAAGAAAAAAATGTTTGGCATCGGCCATTACATATTGCCATTAAACAGTTAACACAGGGCTAATTCTAAGCCTGCCTTTAAAAACAAAACAAAACAAACCGACAAAAAAGAAACTTCAGGCCGGGCGCGGTGGATCATGCCTATAATCCTAGCTCTCTGGGAGGCCGAGGCGGGCGGATTGCTCAAGGTCAGGAGTTCAAAACCAGCCTGAGCAAGAGCAAGACCCCGTCTCTACTATAAAAATAGAAAGAAACTAATTGGCCAACTGATATATATATATAAAATTAGCCGGGCATGGTGGCGCATGCCTGTAGTCCCAGCTACTCGGGAGGCTGAGACAGAAGGATCGCTCGAGCCCAGGAGTTTGAGGTTGCTGTGAGCTAGGCTGAAGCCACGGCACTCACACTAGCCTGGGCAACAAAGCGAGACTCTGTCTCAAAAAAAAAAAAAAGAAACTTCAGTGTACCATGAAATCAGAAGGGATGATCAAATATCTTAACTAAAAATTTAAATTGAAGCTGAAAAATATTTAATCTAGTATCAAATTTTGTGCCAGTGTTCATTATTATGGGGTACAGACTCAAGCACTTGTTTATAGTTCTTGCCTTAGAAATTCCTAGCCTCTCATTTGTGTTCAGTGGACAGAGTTTTCTGAAATTATAGAATATGTATGTGTAAGTCTAAGTACCTATTTTTAAAAGTCTTCCTACTTCACATTCATATTAACAAATGACAGGTTGAGCAAATTGTTTTATCACCATTGCTTGCCTGCTGTGTTGTATAATTTCTCTTAAGAAGGGAGCTACTTAACAGAGATTCCAGAAAACTAAAACATTTAAATGGATAATAAGGGTACCACCCCAAACTAGGGCCTGAGTATATAAATCAAGCTAGAAGAAAGACCCAGATAGGATAAAAGGAGGGCAAAAAGAGAGTGGAGATTTCCTTCCTGCCATACTGTGAAAAACTCATTGTAAATTATGTAAAAATTACATATGATGTTGGTGAGGGTAGCAGTACTCAGAATCAAGTATTTTTTCTCTTTTGTAATTTGTTGCAAGTAATATTCTTTTTTTTTTTTTTTTTGAGACAACGTCTCACTTTGTTGCCCAGGCTAGAGTGAGTGCCACGGCTGTCAGCCTAGCTCACAGCAACCTCAAACTCTTGGGCTCGAGCAATCCTTCTGTCTCAGCCTCCCAAGTAGCTGGGACTACAGGCATGCACCACCATGCCTGGCTAATTTTTTCTATATATATTAGTTGGCCAATTAATTTCTTTCTATTTATAGTAGAGACGGGGTCTTGCTCTTGCTCAAGCTGGTTTCGAACTCCTGACCTTGAGCAATCTGCCTGACTCTCCCAGAATGCTAGGATTACAGGTGTGAGCCACCGCGCCCGGCCTGTTGCAAGTAATATTAATAGTAGTAGTAGTCACAGTGACAATGGTTTGTGCCTCTTTTGGCTATTATTTATATATAATATTTATATATTTGTACAAAATTCAATTTTTATCTTTTGATTTCACTCAAGGTGATACTATAATTCATATCAAGGCTGCAGAGAGGAATAATCTCATTAACTTCACTTCTCATAATATGCTATCCCTTTGACTTGGTCCTGTCGAAGCCCTACACTTTAAAGTTGTATAAACTGAGACTTTGATAGCTTAAGTGCTTTGGTCAAAGTCACAGAACTGGTTTGTAATAGGAAAGCTGGAACTGGAACTTGGCCTCTAGATTGAGTTAACTCTCCTCTCTACTGTAGCCTATTCCACTTTGTTTTGGACTTAAGTTTTCCCCATGAAATGTGATTTGAAACTTTTTGCTCCAGCAACTGCACATTTCATGGGTCACAGATGAACGATTGATGGCATCAAGGAAAGGACATATTGTATAAACTTGCAGTTTCATAATGGCAAAAGATAGGGTGGGGTTGTAGGAAGAGTGGGGGATATGGAGAGGATAGAACAATCTCTGCCAAATATTTGCAGGTGTTGGGACTACAATAAGGCATTGGCCTTGAGAAATGTTCCAAACAGAAAAATCTGTATCCATATGTACTGTTGAGATAACAAAAACACTGCTGGATAGAGTAAGCCTGTATCTACAGAACACCAGCTATTTGAAAACATCCGAAAACATGAAAACACTGGATAATTGATTAGATATTTGGCATCATGCAGCTATAGCCCTCATCTCCAGGGATAGAGGGAACATAAAATTATTTTTACCAAAAAATACTTTAGTCTGTGACTAATCAGTAATTTTTAGAGAAAGAAAGGCTACATTTTGAATAGTTCCCCTTTAATATTTTAGGAAATGTGCAGAAAATTCTGATTATAAATTAAGTGGAAACTATTTTTGCTCATTTTTGGATGGAGAATGGAAACATATGAATCATTCCCAACTGTGTGGTTGGTTATTTTGTCTGGAACATCTTGGACTTTGGGGAGGGAGAGGGAGGTGCTGCTTGTGTGTGTGTGTGTATGGTGTGGAGGGGGGGAGGTCGCTTTGGTTTGGCGCCCAGTGTAAAAGGATATTAATTCTCTACATTAAGCAGAGAGGAAGTCTGACTTTTAGTGTCACATATACTCACTTCTTTGGGTTAATTTTGAATTAGAAAAGCATTTAAGATTCCCTTAATCTGCTTGATTCTTCCCCAAGGAGAAAGGAGAAAGCTGGCTGGCAGAAGCTATAGGGGAGAGACTGTCTGATACTTCCCTGGCCCTGAGAAAAGCACACCAGTCCTGTAGTAGAAGGGGAAGAATGATAGTGTATATATCTATATATATCTGGGGGGTTGCCTTTCTGGCCAGTAGCTGATACAGTGTTTATTTTTACTTTTTGGTTGTGGAGCTTCATTGTTGGCATTTGTAAGTACTTTTTAAGTATTAACCTTCCTGCTTAGGATTAGTGGCTGCTAATATTTATTTGTTCAATAAAGAATAAAACCATTATGTTATAGATAAAAGCTCAGAATAACCAGAAGCTAACCTGCCTTTTTGACATGTACTCAAAATGGATTAGAGGACTTGGGGTACTTAGTATACTTTTATGATCATATTTAGTTGTCTAGTCTACCTATAGGGTTGAGATGTAGGACCCGTGGCCTTTGGAAGGATACCAGTGTTTCAATTCATTCTTCAATTTCAAAGGATACTTGTATTTGTAACAGTTATTCAGAGTATTTATTCTCTCCATTGCTGCTCTCTTTTTACTTGCTAGTCTCAGTATATAACTTATTTCATGGTATATGCTGCATTTCTATAAAACTGCTTCACATTTTAGAATTTTCATGAGTTTCTTCCATTATAAAAGATTGATATTATTGTATTAATGAATGTTGGCTTTATAAAAAGAGGTCAAATTTCAGTGGCTGTCTATTGCTGACAGACTTCAACTTGATATTCTAAGTCTTGTACAGCTCAGTTCCTATGCTGCCCATTAATTTTTTTCCTCTACTCCTCTCAAACATGCTACCTTCATCTACTGCGGTGAGCCTCCTTCCTAACTATCTGCTGAACATACCATTCTCTTTTCTGACTCTTCATGTTACTAATGCTCTGCTCGTGGCTTGCTTAGGAATCCTACCTATTCTTTAGTGCTCCATGCAAACCCCACAAGGCCACTCTAACACACCACAGCTACACCACAAACTCCTTGAGACCAGACACAATGTCTGTTATTTCTCCAGTATTCTTCTCCATAGCATCTAGCACACATAGTATTTGCTCAACAAATCCAAATGAATTCAGTCATAATGGATTTTCAGGAAGTATACCAGTGTTTTTAGCTTCCTTTGGTTTTCATCTTAGAAGATGTATATCTGGTTTGCCATTATGAATTCTTTAAAAGTCTGGAAAAAAATCTCCTGTGAACTAATGAAAATATTCAAAACCAGAGTGTTAGCAAAAGTATGGCACGTCCAGCATGTCCTTAATTAAAGTGTCTATTCATTTTGATTGCTGGATTTTCCAACTGCCTAACCCTATGGTGACATCTGTATAAATCAGATGTGATTATTATAATTCTCTTTGAGAGTGATGTCTTCACATTTCCATGCCCACAGCCTGCCAAAAATATAGCTGATGAAAACCAGGGGGAATAGAGGAATTTCCTGAAAGGAATAAACAAGCACATTTTCTTTTTCTCATTACATTTCCACAAATTCATTTCTACAAATAATTCTTAAGTACAGTTACATTTACCTATCAGGGATCTTGTAGTTATAAAATATTACCTGGCACTGGAATAAGCTTTTTGTCATGGGAAAGTAAAACACACACACACACACACACACACACACGAAGAGACACTGAGACAGAGAGCTAAAGATTGCCAGACAAAGAGAAGGGAGATATGAAACTTGGAGAATGTTCAAAGGAAAGCCACAATGAGAGTTAAAAGGTTGGAAAATATGATAGTCTAGAATCTTATCACAGTTGATTACTTGTCCTCCTTCCTACTCTGTCACTCTGTC